CAGATAAAGTGTAATTGAATATATCAGTACATAACAGAATTAATAGAAATATAACTTTGTAGATAGTATAGAGCTACAAAAACAGGTAGTAATCAAATCAGAATGGATATCGTAGTGAATCACTGTCATTTTCAGTATAGTTGTCTATACTCTCCAACTTGATACCATCAACCTAACAGTTTTAAATAAAATCTGTGAATAATAAGCTTCAATCAAACAAATCAGATTTAACTAAGATCAGTCATGATACAACAGTATAAGTCATACAGGGATCCTGATTGAGTTAAGAGGAAATTAAAGATGACCACTGCGCTATGTCTTGATATCTTTGGGACAGCAGTCTGTGCCCTCAGATCCAGTGCTTGTATACAAACTGGGATAGAACAAGTTCCATCCAAGCAGAGTGGTGCGAGTAATTCCATCAGTTTAATTCCTGATATAGTATTAGCAATATCTTCTGCTGTCTTTTTTAAGACTATTCCTCCTCTTTCACTCCCCCAGGATGTACTGTGCATTTTGGGGTCTCCCCAGCACTATTGGCTTTATATTGGGGGGACAACCTACTATCTACCTAAGTGTTTTCGAACTTTCTCACTCCCAGACTTGATCTCTAGTTGCATTTCTTTACTTATTAAAGCCTGTCTGTTCAACCTGTCCATAAATACTGGTCCAGTTACCCCTATTACTCTCTGGTTCCCTATCACATCGAGTTCCATTTTTTCATATTTGATTTTGGTCCATTTACTCTTGTTTGGGTTAATTATTTTCCTATAAAGAGCATCTTGGTAGACCCTACCTCTTGATCCACTCTGCCTATGATTCTCTCTTTTTTCCCTTAAGTTAATATATCTAGGCCATCTATATTAAAATTTATATACATCCTGCTCTGCTTCTTTCTGTTGTGCTCGTTTTCTGTCATTAGTTGTCTTCTTCATTTTGCTTTTTGATCCATTCATTGGGGCCTCTCTGCCACTGTTCCTGAAATCCTGGTGCTTTTCTCTTTCTTTAGAATGTCCTGTAGTAATCTCTGTAGAGTTGGACTGGTGTTTGTGAATTTCCCCAGTTCCTCTTTATCTTGGAAGCATCTTGTTTCTCCATTAATTTCTAGGGACAACTGTGCAGGATGCATCAGTCTGGGCTGGAGGTTAATTTCTTTCAAGGCTTGGATTATTTTGCCCCATGCTCTTCTAGATTTGATGGTTTGTGCCAAGAAATCTGCCATAATTCTGATGGGTTTTCCCTTGTAAGTGATCTGTTTCTTGTCTCTGACAATTTTTAATATTCTGTTCTTATATGGGCTTTCTAGGATTTTGATTCTTATATGCCTGGGTACAGTTCTGTTTTGGTTGTAGGTGGCTGGAGTTCTATATGCTTCATCTATCTGAGTATCTTTTCCTTTTCCTATGTTTGGGAAGTTTTCCTTAATTATTTCTGTGAATAGCCTTTGCAGTTCCTTTGTTTGTGCCCCTGCTTCTTCATTCACATTCTTTATTAAGTTATAGATCCTCTTGTCATCTTCTAGCCTTTGTATTGTTACTGCTTGTTTCCTTGTTATTTGTAAGAAATTTTTCCTTTCATGTTCCCACATTGCAAACCTGTCCTCCAGTTCCGATAATCTATCCTTAGTTTCTTTCAAGCAGTTTTTCCATCTTTCAATGGAGTTTTTAATTTCCTAGTTATCTCTTTGAACCTGCTTCATGTATTCTATGGTTTCTTTATTTTCTCCATCAAACAATTCCCCCCCCCCCTTTTTTTTTGTTCTTCCATTCTTCCATCTGTTTTTTTCTTGGGAGGTGCTTAGCATTTCTTTAATTATTCTATTTATATCTTGCTTTACTTGATTTAATACTTCACTTTTGAACTCGTCTATGAGGTCGAAGATATCGCTTCATGTCTATTGGTGCTGTGTTTGATATTGCACGTTTGCTGTCCTCATTCTCCTTTGCATTTACCTTTCCTGGATCAGTGTTCTCAGGACTGGGGACCAAGGACCCTTTCTTGTTGCCTCCTCTTCTCATATTTTTTGTTCCTTCTGTACAGGCATATATAGGAGGCCCAGTTTCTTTTTTTGTTGGTTACAGTTTCACTTTTTCTTTTCCTACTCCATGGAACAATGCAGTCTTTTCATTTGGGCTGAAGAGCTGGAGGAAGGGAGAATTAAAGAGAACTGAACCAGGGAATGGAGGAGTGTTAAAATTATACCAGGGACATGGACAGATGCACTAACCAAATCTCCATGCAACCTTCATCCCAAAGTCCCCCTATTAATTTCTTTAACCAAACATCCTATTTTATCCTGCTTTCTGACTATTACTATAGACAGATAAACTAGGTAAAAACTTAGATTGGGTTAGGTTTTTGGGAAAGTCAGTACAAAGTATGAAAACATATTACAACTGTAGCCAGAGGCCAAGCCTCAAGATAAAGACAAAATGACTATGCCTATTACTCTTTAGGAGATAAACAATAGACATGTCAGTAACCCTGGTAGGTGGTTGGAACACTCTGGTTGTCTCTTCCTAAAAAGAGCCTTGTTCTTTCTGTGTACACTTGTTATCTGACCTGCTTCACCATTGGATTAATATTACCTAATTGGCTGAAACTGTAATCTTATTGGCTGATTTATACCCACCTCACGAATTTACTCTATAAAACTTTATGTAACTCATTTTTTCTGTCCCCTCCTCTCTCAAGATCTATTTCTATGTCTCTTTGTCTGTCTGTCTGTCTCTCTGTCTCTCTCAAATTTTACCTACTCTTAACCTTTTTGTTCCTTAAAATTAATTCTGCAGTTTTGGGGAACACAAATTCAGTATGCCGATATCTAAGAGGTTTAGAATCATGTGTATTTTTCCTGTATCACTTTGTTGGGAATGGTTGATTGGAGATGGATCCCAAGTGCAGGGTTGGAGCAAGGCTGGTCCCAAGAATAAAGTGCACCAGTGACAAGCCATGTGAACAAGCTACTGCAGTCCAGAGAATGCCAAGCCCTTAGGTGGCCATGCGTGCAGATTGCTAGGCTTACATGATACTAACTTGCTGAATGTATAAATAAATGCACCGCATTGGTTGAGAAGTTCCTTTCCTCCCATCAGGAGAGAGGGCTCCACCTGATCCCAGCTGTATCTTGTTTTTATTTCACCTTTTCTTTGCCCCTCATAGTGCTTACCCCAGGAAGCTCAAGAGTCTCACAGGCTACAGAAGAATGGTGTCTGGACTGGGACTCCTGGCATGAGGAAATTCATCAGTTAGCAGCTGACAAGGACACCTCTAGTATGTACACAAAAGGGAGAGAGGGGTACCAATATCCTCAATATTGTGCCCATTGATAGCATCAATATCAAGCCCAAAAGTGTATTGATATCATTAATATATAGATGATTAATATCATCAACACTGAACCCCTATTGGATATAAAACATGGGACAAACAGGTTATCAAGAACAATAGATGTATACAGGAATGCTTGTATTCTTGATTGCTGGATTTACTTTCTTTCTGTTGATTTGGATTAGAGAGTGTCTTAATGGTCATAAATTTTTCGAGATGACCACAAAAGATTTGACTTGGAGCACTTTTAAAATCAAGTCTTGAGCAGAAAAATGATGGCATAGCAATGGGAACACTGATAGAGTTTATACCCTCTAGCTTTGCTCAATTATATAAAGGAGCCGGGGCGGGGGGGACAAAACAGCTTCTTCCCCACTAGAGGAGTGTTTTATTGTGAATTCCATTTCAGAATTTGATAATTTTAATGGAGTCACAAGGGACAATTACTGTCTTTTCAATTCAGAGAAATTTTGCTGCATCATGGATTGGAATTTCTGCTTTTCAGGGAGCAGACTCATTTCTTTCTTCCTTACAATAGTGCTAAAAGAAGCCAGTCAGGCACGGGAGTCCATGGAGAGTTTTCAACGTGTCTACCCTGTTACTGAACTCAAATCCCCAGCAATCCAGAACAAGCTGTGGGTCTTCATGAGGCTGTATCCTTTAAGACCTTAAAGAAATTAATACAAGCTGCTGCTACCTATGGTCCTATGGCCTCTTTTACCTTGGGTTTATTAGAGCTCCTAGAGCAACAGGTTATGATCCTAAATGATTGGAAAAAATAGCTAATGCATGTATATATTGGGGGGCATCATTTATTGTGGAAAGGAAATGTTTGTAAATTGTGCACGTATCAGATTGCTTGCAGTGCCACTCCCAACACAATCATTACAAAAGGCATGTTATCCAGAGAAGGTGCCTGTGCTGCCACAAATAATCAACTTTTAATTGCACGTATATGAGCAAATTAAAATAAAACTTAATTAAATTAAAATTTGAACTTCCTTCCAAGGGTGAAACATCCCTAGATTTAACTTCCATTTGTCAGGGTCCTAATGAACTTTTTTAAGATTTTGCAGCATGCTTATTGAAGGCTAGTGAGAGGATTATAAATGAGACAGGGGCTAGCAAGTTAAACATTCAACAATTGGTGCTGTCTAAAATAATTCTGATTTGTACAGATATGGGCCTCCCCTATGTACGGGAGGCGGCCTTGGCAGTAGCTATTGCTCAGGTTATTCACCCCCAGCCTAGAGAAAGAATAGGGTTACCTGTTGCAGCTGCGGGGGCAGAGGGCTGAACTCCTGCCTCCCACATCTGCAGCCTGACCACCACCTGGGCCCCTCCATCAGCTTGCTGTGTCTTATCTTTATTTTGCATGGCCCTCACTCCAGGAAGTTCGAGAGCCCTGTGGGCCACAGCAGCTACGACCTTCTTATGCCCGCCTATCCCTATAGCACTGTATTAAAGTGCCTACTGGGCATCAGTGACTTTTATTTCTTAGTCACCCACACTTAATAAGGTATTGTAATTAACTAATTTCATTTTCATTTCTGTGTTTCATGTTTTTTTTTTAATATAGGCTTAAAAAATCATTGTGAATTCTGCTGATTGGTTTAATTAGCAAATAAATGACAAATATATTAAGAGAAGAGTCTTTCAAAAATAAACACTGTAGTTTTTAAATTTATTTTTGCACTTGCCAAATGGACTTAAAGTGGTATTTAGTGAACCTGAAGATTTACATTCTGACCCCAAATTCTCTTTTCTACAGACATTCTCAGAGAAAGCAAGAACAAAATTTTCACAGGTACAAGAGGTCCTACATATACAATAAAAAAAAAAGGAATAAATCAAAACCATATAGGTACATGTGGATAAGTCACAAGAATAAAATGTGATTTATAGAAAGCCAGTTGCCAAATGACACATTACTAATCCATTCATATAAAGATTAAAAACATACACAAATAACATACAATATTCATTTATAATAAATGCATAAAATTTTTGTAACATTTAAAATGCATGTATAAAATCCACGTATTAAGACATAAAATTATAGAAAAGATTGTGAATATGATAAACACTAAATTTAAGATGGCTGTCACCTTAATAGAAGAAAAAGTTTTATGTGATTGGGAAGAGGGGATGGAAGCTATAATTGCATTCTGTAATTCCATGTTTATTTATTTTATTTTATTTTTGTCTTTTTATTGTACCGGGGATCGAACTCACGACTGCCTGCTTGCAAGGCAGGCACTTATGCCAGTGAGCTAAATCCCCAGGCCCTGTAATTCCATGTTTAAAGTATTTCCTATATAAGTTAATAAGGGGTAGGTTAATTGTTAAGAAAAGTTAACAGTTTCAAATGCTACTTGATGGAGGGATAAGTTACAATGTTTTGAGAGGACAATTTGGCAATATCTGTAAAAATTTCCACTTACCAATGATTCAACTATTATATTATAGAACTTATTCTATAGTTCTATAGTTTGGTTAATAAATTTTGAGATCTAAATCAGTCTCTGGTTTATAAGAGAAACAGATATACACAAAATATAAAAATGCATAAGAAATCAAAGATTTGCCTTATGATCATCCATACAGTTAGACGAAGAAGCATACAGAGGATGTCTGCACACTGGAGACCAAAAACTTCCAAAGTCTGGAGCTCACTGCACTGTCCATTCAGGTCCATATCAGGATGCTGAAGTGTCTGTGACGGAAGGCTGAAGAGTCTGCAAAGTGTAGCATTGAGGCTGGATGAAGGCTTCAAGGCATTGGCCTTTGGGCAGCATTCATGACCCAAACTGTATTAGAAGTTTACATAAAATGTTAAAGACATCTAGATGCTTCATTGGAGCAGAACAGGGAGACTGGGTTTAGGCTGGATATAAATTTGTTGCATATGTATTGTATAAAACTGAGTGAGATAAATATACTGAATCATTACATTATTTTGACCTACAACAATTTCAATTTTGTGTATCTCAGGCAGCCAAGAACTATATGCAAAGCACTGTCTAGAAGGGTTCCACTATAACATTCAGAGCACATTGGCAAAGAGTCTATATGGGGCTAAGATCGCTTCACTTGATTCCCAGGGGAACCACTAATTATCTTGGATAAAGGAGAACAAAGGTGAGTTAGTCTTTTAGGGCTGGCACTCAGGGTTGAAAATCAAGTACACCAGGGTCGAAAATGTGTGGCCAGCACATCTGGATCACACAAGCTGCTTACAGATGCCATTTTAGGAGAGGAGTTGCCGAAAGGAGAACCAGATTATTAGCACGCCCATTCAGAGTGCGGTTTGGATAGAAAGCATCCATTGGCAGGAGGGTGAGAGGCAGAATATACTTGGGGCTTGTTCCTGTTCTGACTGCAATATTACCTTAGTTTAACCTTAATTTGGCTAAGTGCCTGGAGCTATCCTTAGAAGAGATGCAATTTTCTCCTTGCGCTTTCTCAGAATTCTTTCCATGTCACTTTGAGTCTGGCTGCAGGAATGTCATACCCCATGATTGGGGTCTGATAGAAACTCTAGCCAAGGGTGTCATTGCCTGGAAAGGGTATAGTGATGTAACTCCACACCGTGATATATAATGAACTATCCTAGAAGTGCTGTAACCCCGAAAACTTGCTGGTCCAACACTCAAAAGTAGCTTCCAGGAGAAGGGAAAGATGATTTGGTGGCTAGGGAGCTGGGTTATACCTGTACAAATATGTCAGTTAAAGGAGCCTCCTCTGATTGTGATACTCTCTTTTTTACAGTGTGGATACAATAGCTACTGGATTCCTGGGTTAAATGAATTTCCAGGACATGCTTTGTCTTTGTATTTCTGAGTATTATGAAACTCTTGTTTGAGAAAAAATTCATCTGCCTAATACTTTTCCTAGAAGTCACCATTTACTCCTAGGTGATCCTTTGTTAATGGTGTGTGTGTATGTGTGTAGTAGTAGTAGTAGTAGTAGTAGTTAAATTTCACTATTTTATTTTGGCGAAATACTTGTTTTATTTGAAAAAAACATAATTGAATTCATTTATCTTATTTTCTTTTGTCGTCATTCCTACATCAGTGCAATAAACATATACAGTACAACCAATACCATATTTTACTTTTGAGGGTGAAAACCAGTATGCCTCTGCAGTTCAGAACATGGTTTCAGGAGTCAGAAACCTCGGCTCCCGCCTAGGACTGTCCACTTACTTGATCTCTCTGTGAGTTATCTAATCTGTCTATACCTCAGTCCTAAGGATTAAGTGAGATAATAAGTGTAGAGATCTGCACAGAGGATGGGGTACAGTAAGCATGCTCTAGATGCAAACTCTCATTAATGGCCTATGAAAATTATTTACTTTATTCTTTCAAATAAAAACTTTAATTATAACTCTGTATCTAGGCCCTGTCTGAAAGATGCCTTTATCATCTTCATGGAGGGAATATTTTAATAGCCTCTAAACTACCCTTCTTATTCCTGCCCAGAAAAATCATCTGGACCTGGATGCTGATAATCTCATATGCAAAATCTTTGTTCACAAAAGCCACAGGAAAAAACGTTACTCTTTCCTGTTCCTTATCTGTTCAAATTACATGCAGCTCTAAAGCTCTTCCAAGTGGTGAGGATTTTTTTTCTCTCTATTTAGCCTTTACATGAGGACATTTATAGCATCACACAAACCTTCCGAAAGTTAGATAATTTATTTATGAACTATGTTTCAATGATTATAAAATGTATGAATTACTCTCTATTGCAAAGAAACTGGTTAAAACTTATTTGCCATCAGATCACTACATAAAATATTCACAGCCACAGGACGTGGAAGGTCTGGGGAAAGGCCTGTGGTGGTGGTGGGGGAGCCTTTAAAGAATATTTCTCTGCCCCGGGCAGTTATTCCTACATTCGTTTTTTTCTCTTAGTGCATGTTTTCAGTACATAATGATTACATGTCTCGTGGGGAGTGGGCCTGTGTGCAGAACACGTCATGATTCGTTTTTCATCTGTTACCCCAACCGCTCCGCCCTGCCTTTTCCATCTTTGGTTCCTTCCTATTCACAAAAGCTCTATTTTTATCTGTTCTTTCAATTCTTTGTTATAACCTTTTCCTTCCCCCTGTCTCCCTCCTTCCGTCTCTTGCTGCCCTTCTGTATCAGCCAGTGTTTACCAAAGAAACAGATTTAATGCAAGACATAAAATTATATAAGAATTTACAAGATTGGCTTACAATGACTGCACACAGAATCAGGTGTAGAAGAGCACACAAAGTCTGTCTCCACACTGGAGATCTGAAGAGTCTAGGTGAAGACCTGGAACCCACGGCAGTGTCTTGGGAGCACACATCAGAAGGCCGAAAGGTCTGGGATGCAAGACTGAAGGCTCTCTGCTGGAAGCCAGGAGACATCTGAGAAGAAAGTGAAGACTGGAGCTCCTCTAAAGAAACAGGAAACAAGCCTTATTTCTCTTTCATACCATTCAGGCTGCAGCCCACTGGTGACTGTCACTCACACCCAATAAACACCAAGAAATCTTCAGGAAAGCCCCTCATTCACACCCAGAATTATGCTGATCCAATTTAGTGAGGCACTTCTTACTCAAATTGACACATTCAGTTAACTATCACACCTTCGCATTTGAAAAAGATCTCCCTACTTCCTGTCATGTTATTTTGCTCGTATTTTGAGTTTCTCTTATATCAGAAGCCATGTGATATTTAAGCTCATATGTCTGGTTTATTTACCTTAATACCATCTTACAGTCTTAAGGTGTATACTTTTACTTATGAACGCCACTGCATATAAATACCACAGTTTCTTTATTCATTCATCTATTGATGGGCTTATAGGCTGTTTGTAAAATAGAGGTATTAAATTGTGCTCTTATAAATATGAATATGCATGCATTATAGTAACATGATGACTTTAACTCTTTTTTGGAAGATACCTAGAAGGGGTATAGCTAGGTGAAATAGAATTTCTAGTTTTACCTTTTTAAGAAATCTCCGTACTGATTTTCACCAGTTTACATTCCCACCAACAATGCAGAAGAGTTCTTTTTCCCTCAGAAACTCACAGCATTTGTTAGCACTGATTTCTTGCTGGTAGTCATTCTTTTGGGAGTAGAATGGAATTTTGATATGGTTTTTATTTGCATTTCTTTAGTGGTCAGTGATGTTGAACATTTTTCATGTACTTATTGGCAATTTGTACTTTTTCTGAGATGTTCTATTTCAGTTGCCCAATTTTTACCTTTTTCTTTTATTTTGGTGGAATCTAGTTGTTTTTTTTTTTTCTTTCAGTTTTTTATGTATCCTAGATATTTGTCCTCTGTCCAAGGAGAACCTGGCAATGTTTTCCCAATTCTGTAAGTGATCTTCTCATTCTGTTGGTTGTTTCCCTTGTTGTGTAGAAGCTTTTCAGTTTGATATGATTCTATTTGCTGATTCATGTACTTTTTGTGTGACTGAGAGCTCTCCAGAAATTCTTTGTTAAACTATGGCTTCAAGTTTTACCTACTATATCTTTAGAAGATTGTTTATTCTATTTGATTCATTCTGACTTTAGATGAGTACATGATTAGATATTTGAATTTAGGCTCAGTCATCTGGATGTAGATGTTTAATTTTTCCAGAATCATTTATTTAAGAGGCTTTCTTCCATTGTGTTTTTGGTTTCTTTGTCGAAGATAAAATAGCCAAATATCCCTGTTGTTTCTGTTTCCTTTATTATGTTCCATCAATCCATGTCTTTTTTCTTTCTTGCTTGCCAGTGCCATGCAGTTTTTATCATTGTAACTTTGTAATACAACTTCAAGTCTGGGATTGTGATACCTTCTGCTTTGCTCTTCTTACCCAAGATTTCTTTCACTCTTCTGGATCTTTTCTGTATCCATTTAAATTTTAGGATTGTTTTCTCTTGATCTGTGAGGAATGCTGTTGGTATTTTGATTGGGATTTCAGTAAATCGGTGTATCATTAATTATATTGGTTCTGGGGGCTGGGGATACAGCTTAGCAACATAGTGCCTACCTGGTAAGCACAAGGTCCTATGTTTGATTTTTAGTAAAAACAAACAAACAAACAAACAAACAAACAAAAAACCTGTATTTGTTCTGTCTATTCAGGAACGTAGAATATCTTGCCATATTCTGATACCTTGATCTCTTTTTTCAGAATAACATAATTTTTGTTGTAGAAGTCTTCCAATTCCTTGGTTAGGTTAATTCCTACATATCTTTGATGCTACTGCAAATGATATTATATATCTCAGTGTGCTCATTATTAATGTAGAAGAATGCTACTAATTTTTGTGTTTTGTATCCTGATAACCTTGCTGAACTTGGTGTTAATTTTAGGAGTCTTTTCATGAAACTTTTGAGGGGATTTCAAGTAGACTATCATGCTTTGACTTCACTTCTTCCTTGGCTTTAGGTATCTCTTTTATTCATTTTGTTTTTGTCTGATTGTTCTAATGTTTTGAAAACTACACAATAAAAGTGATGAAAATGAACATCTGTCTTGTTTCTGATTTGATAGGGAATGCCATGGGTCTTCTCCATTTAATATGATGTTGAGAATAGGTTTTTCATAAATGGCTTTTATCAGATTGAAACAGAGTCCTTGTATACCTATTTGGTGTTTTGTCATGAATAGTGTTGAATTTTGTCAAAAGCTTTTTCTATATATACTAAGATAATCATGTGGTTTTTTTATTCTTTTATGTGGGTTACATTTATTAATTTGCATATACTGAACCATCCATGCATCCCTGGCATGCAGCCTATTTGGTCATGATCTTTTGAATGACATATCTGTTTTCCAGTATCTTCTTGAGGTTTTTTTAATTAAAGAGATTATGTTTTGGTTAGCTTTTCTGCTCGGATCTTTGTTTGGTTTTGGAATCAGGGAAATGCTAGCTTATGGGAAAAACTTTGGGAGTATGTCTTCTCTTTCAAATTTATTATGTTATTAAAATGTTTGAAGAGTATTGGCCTTAAAACTTCCCTAGGGTTCTTGTAAAATTCAGCAATGAATCTATCAGCTCTGGGATTTTCTTAGTAGTTGGTAGTTATTTTACCCCCTGCTTCAATTTCATTACCTGTTTTTGGATTATTAAAGGTTTTTATATCTTTTTGGTGCAGTTTTCATAATTTATATGCATCTAGAAATCAATTTCTTCTGATTCAATTTATGCAGTATAGGTGTTCAAATTAGTTACTAATCTTCTGAATTTCAGCAGTGTCTGTTATGATTTTAACTTTGTCATAACTAATGGCACTGCTTTGGGTCTTTTCCTTTTTTCTGGCTAGATTACCTAAGGGTTTGTCTGCTTTGTTTATTCTTTGGAAGAATTGGCTCTTTAATTCCTTGACTTGTGGAGTTTTTTTGAGGTGTCCCAGTTTCACTAATTTCTGCTCTATTTTTGTGATTTCTTCTTTGTTCTAGCTTTGGGTTTGTTCTTGTTTTTCAAGAATCATGAGGTGCACCATTAGGCTATTTATTTGGGCTCACTTTATTTTTATGATGTGGGTACTCAGAATCAAAACTTTCCTTTTAGGACTGTTTTCATTGTGTCCCTTGAGTTGTGGTACATTATACTTGCATTATCGCTTGATTTTAGAAAGTGTATAAATTTTAGAAAGTGTCTTCCTTGATTTCTGTGACCCACTGAATATTCAAGAATGCATTAATTTCCATGTGCTTATGTAGTTACTGCAGTTTCTTTTGCTATTGATTTCCAGTTTTATTGTACTATGATCTGTTAATATGCATAGAATAACTTTAATACTTTTTCATTTATTTAAGCATTCCTTATTGGTTAAAATGTAGTCTATTTTGGGTAAAGCTCCCCATGCTTCCAAGAAGAACATAAATTTTATTTTTCAGCAGAATACTGTAGATGACTATTAAGTCATAGTTTTGGACTTCAACTCTTGATATTTCTTTTACTGGAATTCCCCACTATAACTGTGATGTTTACTTGATTTGTGTCTAGGAATATTAAGTTTTATGATGTAGGGTATACTAGTGTTAAGTGCATATATGTTTACAATCATTATGTCTTCCCATTCAATTATTCCCTTAGCCAATATGATCTTTTGATTTTAAATTTATGAATTTCTTTTTGGTTTAAATGTGTTTCATGTATACAGGATACAAATGAATTTTTTTTCTTGATCCGTTCTGAAAATTGTCTTTTGATTGGGAAACTGAAATCACTCACAGAGTTACTAATGAAAGGTGCTGACTTACTCCTGTCATCACACTGTGCCCCTTTTCCTAATTCCTTTTTGTTTTTCTTCCACGTTACTCCCCTTGGCTGATGTATCCATTCGGATGTTTTGGCATTGTTATCACAGCTCTCCAACCCGTTAAGATTTATGCTGAGAAGTTTCCTATAATTCTCCATAAATGATATAAATTTTTTTTTGGTTTTCTCTGTTTTTACAATTGTGACTTAGTCTTGCATTTCTGGGATTTTGGCTACAATGAGTTATGGAGAAATTCTTTTCTGGTTGTGCCTGTTTGAGACTGCGTATGCCTCAGTTGTCTGTATGTTACATTCTTTTCCCACATCTGGAAAGCTTTCTAATACCTTTTATGTAAACAGTTTTTTAATGACATTTGTGCTGTCTTCTGATTTTTTACTGATTTCAAGTCTTATTTGCACCATCTAAGGAGCTGTTGGATCCATTTGTCATGTACTTTTATTATTTTAAAGTATAGTTCTAACTCTCTGTCCTCACATTGGTAAATTCATTTGCTCACACTCTCAATAGAAATTTTACTCTCCTCAATTTCTGTTTGGTATCATTTTATGGATGTTGATTTTTTGCGAACCTGGTTATTCATGTTTTATGTCATTTTATTTAGCTCAGCTAGCTTTTATTAGTATCTTCTGTAAATTCACTCATTTTAAGCTCATGATCTATTGAGTTATATCTTCTTGAACTTCCTAAGTGCCTTGCTGATTTTTTCTCCCCTTTTATCAGGTAGAATAACTCAGTTATGTTGACTTTGATTTTCTTCCTCTTAATGCTTTATGAATCAGCTTTGCGGGAGTTTTTTGAGACACTTTGTTGCGCTGTTTCCTCAAGTTTTATTGTCTTGTTTGTGCATGTGAAAGACATTTTGCTCATATAGTGGTCTCTTTATTGTGCTTTTCAGTTATGCACTATGGGCATAGATAACTATAGGCCTTTGCCTCTGTTCCAAGATCCAGCTCCCTCTGTTAATTTAGGAGGGGAAGATACAGTGTAATTGGTCCAGCATCCAGTTCTCCAGGAATGGACTGAGGCAAAACAAAAGCAATCCTATTAGTATGCATAGAAAAACAAATTACTAACACCAACTATGTTAATAGAAACAAAATCAGTAACAATAATAGCATCAAGGACACACTGGATATTGATATACCACAAGAACCAATAATGTACCATACTTAAACATGGAAAAGAGATATATAATTATATATAAACACTAAGACGAACCAAATATTGACATATAATATCTACTAAATACAATCACTATACTTCTCCTAACAATAGAAGTCAACAGAATTATCTAAAGATTAGTAAAGTTTAATGGCTATCCTAGTAAAGAGAGAAGGTGCAGGAAACAAGAGAATGAGAGAAGCAAAATTTTAAAAATTAAACAATAGAAGATAGGAAAGAGAGAAAAGTGAAATAAAAATTTGTCAAGGATTAAAAGGAAATTAGTAGAATTAGATAAAAGTAACAGAAAAAAAAAACAAGGAAAAAGAACAACATTTTTAAAATAAGAAAAAATTTAAAGTTAAGAAAAAGAAAAGAAAAATATCACTGTAGAAGGGAAAAAAGAAAATGAGTGAAAAAACTCTCCTCCACGTTTCTGAATGAGCGGTTTCTTCCCAGGGTTAGTCTGCAAGGTTGGAATCCAGCAGATATGGGGGAGATGAGTCATTTGTAAAACTGTTTTTTTCCACACTCACATGTTGAATCCTGTTCTACCCTTCCCACTGGATGTGGGTGATCAATGGTGTCTGCTTTAAGGTTGTAGTCATTCTGGCAGCTCCCAATTTCTGTGTCCTTCTGTGCATCCTAAGTCATGCTTTCTCCATGTAGCTTTACAGCCCATGGGTTTAAGAGGTGGCTCCCTTGCTCTAGCAGCCTGTGTTTTACATGACAGGCTAGGTAATTATCCAATGTCACTGGTCATGTTAGTGGACTGCAAAAGCAACCAGACCACTGAGCTCAGTGCTGGCTGTCAGTTGTGTAGCAGAGGTTCAAGAAGACTGCTGCACTGAATGCCAGCATCTCCAGACCCAGCCTCCTCTGAAAGCCACATATTATGGATCTGGCTTCTCTCCATGGAAGGCAGGGCCCCCAGCTCCTTCCAAGGTTGGGCTTAGACTTTTCAGGGGGTCTAGACCTAGCCTGCACACCTCTTCAAATGTCTCTTAGGGCCACATCCTATCCAGTCACTGTGGTAGGCTGACACTGGGTGCCCCGAAATGAAGTTGCTCTGTGGTTGTTCCATGGCTCAGTCTTCATAAAACCCTTGTGAAAAGAGCACCTGATCAAACCCTCTACAATATGATGGGCACTGCACTGGATTTCTCCAATGATAGCCTACTATGCAGAAGGAGTAAACCCCACAGCTTTTGCAGTTTATAATAATTGTGGGCTTTTCCTGGGCAAACGTTGCCAGCCTGGTCTACTGTTTACCCTCAAGCTGTTGACCTCCTCCGGGGTCAACTTATGTCTCCCATATTCACTCCTTCCAGACCCTCCCTATTTCTAAATTGATAGAAAACAATGGAGAATATGCTTTTGAATCAGTCTGTACATTTTTTGCTGCTCTCGGAGAAGTAAGCAGACTCTTCTTGGAAAAATTTAGATTATCATTCACTGTTCTAAATTGTAGGCCAAAAACATCTAAGTTATCATATTTACAGGAAGCAGTCTCACCTTTGTAACTCCTTTAAAGGGAGAAAGTATAAATGCAATTAGTGAGCACACAGGTCATCCATATCCATTTTACTTCCATTAACAACTGACCCACTGACCCTGTAGGAATCATGAGAGCACCTTCCTCAATGCAGGGGGGAACTAGTCTCACACTGATGCCCTCCAGTTGGGTTCCTGTGTCTTCCTATGTAACACATTCCATGGTAACTGCCCTGGGTAACAGAATCACTTTCCTAGTGCATACCTGAACTCTTCATGTTACTTTTTATTCTTACATTAGAACAGAGAGTTCAAAATAATTAATTCATAATTTGTTACTTTCCATTTAAATTTTTTATTTTGTTTTTGTTTTTGGCTTTGAAGGTTTTTTTAATATTGTAGTTCAGTGGCAAACAATTGTAACCTCTTTGTGCTTCACTTTCATTGTCCATAGAAAGGACATGACACAGCAGCACTTACTTCACTGTGTTCTTATGAAGCTTAAATTAAAAATGAGCTAAAATTTACAAACTCCTTGAATTACGATTGGACACACTGAATTATTTAAGTGTTTGTTAAAAATTCAAAGCACAAGCCACCCCTCCCCTGCACCCAGATAACTCACCAGCCAATGGGATCACCAGCCAACTCTCTTCCACTTCTGGAGGACCTCAGCAGCTGAGGGGATCATCAATGACCCCTCCTACCATTTGCAGTACCTTGGTGGGCTGGTGGGAGCCTTGGCCAACTCTCCCCCACTCAGAGGACCTCATCAGGCCAGTGAGAGCATAGTGAGTCATCTCCCAAAGCAAAGGACCTCAGTGGGTCAACAGGAGCCTCAGTGAACCCTTCCCCCACCCAGAGGACCTTGACAAGCCAGTGAGAGTATGGGTGAGTCCTTCTTCCATAAGAGAACCCCAAGTGGGCTAGTGAGAGTGCCAGTGAAGCCTCTTCCCACCCAGAGAAACTTGACTGGGCCTGTGAAATCTCCAGTGACATAGTAGGGTCCTGTATGGATAGGTGGGTCTGGTGGCCTGGAACATTTGGAAGCCACAATAACAATATATGCTAAGGGCTGGTTCACATCAATGCTCCTAGATTAGTGCCAAGAATATAGGACTCACCCAACTGGCCCTGCAGGAGGAATTCAGGTGACTGTCCCCTTTCCTATACTGTAGGACACAGTAACTGGGTGAATAACAGCCACCTAACAGGACATACATGACAGATAGTTGAGACTAGGGGGATTGAAAAGAACAAAATACTAACCCCCAAAAATGATAAAAAGCCAAAAGGCAATTTCAAGTACCCAGCCCATCTGAAACAAGTACAAGTACAGGAGACATCAAAATAGAGGTCACTGGTGGTCATACATCTGAAATTTCTGAAAAGATAACAAGTGAAATAAAGAAACAAATCCATGAGGCTACAGAGGGAATCAGATTAGAAATAATCTCAGATAAAGAAAGAAATGACTGTCTTACTAAAGGAACTGCTCAGCATAGCTAGAGAAGATATAGATTAAAAATACAGAATAAAGAAAATGATGGAAACCTTGCATAAATATAAGAAAGAAATAGAATGCATGAAACAAATTCAGAGATATCCAGGAAATTAAAAATTCCATGAAAGCTGGTAAAACCACTTGAATGGAACTGAAGATAGACTTTCAGACCTTAAAGACATGATCAGAGTTAGCAATCATAAAAGGAAAGAACTCCTAAAAAAATAAGAGAAATAATAATTCACCAGCTCCAAGATGATGCAAAGAAAACAATATAAGCTGATAGGTGTCAATGAAAATGCAGGAGTCAATGCAGATGACATATTTGCAGAAGTAATAATAGAAAATCTCCAGGCATGGGAAAAGATTGTGATATACAGATAAGTGAGGCATATACAACTCCAAACAGCTATAACCAAAATAAATCTACACTCAGACATACAATAATCAAGATCTTAGAAATTTAGCCTACAAGAAAACAAAAAGCTCACTTATCAAGGAAAGCCCATTAGAATCACGGCTGACTTCTCAACACAAATCATCAAGTCAAGATGAGCTTGGAGTAAAGTATTATAAGCCCTGAAGAAAACAGCTTTCAACTCAGATTGATGTACCCTACAAAACTTTCTTTCAAATTTAATGGAGAAATAAGATACTTCTATAACAAAGAACAACTGAAGAAATTTATGTCCACCAAACCAACTCTAGAAAGTGCACTGACAGACATATTAGAGATAAAAATGACCACAATTCCCAGAACAACAAAAAAAGGAAATCACTAGGCAGGGCAGGCAGTTAAACAAGGAAAGTCAAGGGATGAAAAACATAATTCCATGTGATAGGAACCCAGAAAAAAACAGGAATAGCTCTTATGTTTGCAGATAATATAAACTTTAAACCAAAAATGATCAAAAGAGATAAGGTCACTATATACTTGTTAGGGGAAAAATTCAAGAGGGAGATAAAAATCATAAATAAATATGTACCAACTATGAGAACACCCAACTATATAAGACAAATATTAATAGTCATGAAAAATCACATATGGAATAACACAGTTGTAATAGAATTCAATACTCCATTGTCCAAAGAGACAGATCAACTAGATAAAAAGTCAGCAAAGAAATAACAGAACTGAATCAAACCTGTGAACAAAAGCTGGTACGAATGGATTACTAAATGTTAACAGGTGTTCCGCCCAACAACATCAGAGTACACATTCGTCTCAGCTGCACGTGGGAAATTCTCTAAAATAAACCATATACTAGCCCATAGAACATGCTTAAATAAATGCAAAGGAACTGAAATTATCCCATGCATATTATCTGACTATGGTGCATTGAAATTGGAAATTAATGGCAAAATAAACTGCAAAACCTACATAAACACATGGAAATTTAAGGGACACCCTCATGAACAAGCAATGGGCTACAGATTAAATTAAAGAAGAAATTAAACAATATCTAAAATTCAATGACAAGATAGATACAACATAATGGAACCTGTGGGATGCAATGAAAGTGGTCCTACCAGGAAAATATACAGCACTGAATTCTCCCATCAGGAAAACAGAATGAGCACAAGTAAACAACCTACTGCTGTACCTCAATCTTCTAGAAAAAGAGCAAGTCAAGACCAAAGCTTATACAAGGGAAGAAATGATAAAGATCAGAGCAAAAATTAACACAATTGAGACCAAGCAAAAAAAATAACCAATTGAAGAGTTTGTTCTTTGAACAAATAAACAAAATTGATAAACTCCTTGCCAATCTTATAAAAAAAGAAAGAAGAATAAAATTTCATGTAATGAGGAATGAAAAGGCTGAAATTACTACAGCTCCTGTGGAAATTCAGATCATCAACACCTACATTGAACTCAGATTATCAACACCTACCCTACTTTCCAGCATAGACTGGAAAACACAGAGGAAATGCACAGATTCCTAGAAATGCATGAATCACCAAAGCTGAATCAGGAAGACATAAAAAAATTTAAATAACCCAATATTAGTTACTGAAATTGAAAACTTAATTCAAAACTTACCAAAAAAGAAAAGCCCAGGTCCTGATGGGTTCATGGCTGAATTCTATAAGAAATTTAGAGAAGATTTAACACCAAAACTCTTCAAAACTCTTTAATGAAACTGAAAGCTAAGCAGTTCTCTCTAACTCATTTTTGAAGGCAAGGATTAACCTGATACCAAAACCAGAGAAAAATGCAACCAAAAAGGAGAACTATAAGCCAATCTCTTAATGAACACTGATGCAAAAATTCTCAATAAAATACTTGCAAACAGAATGCAACGAACTATCAAGATTATACACTAGGTGGCTGGGGATTTAGCTCAGCGGCATAAGTACCTGCCTTGCAAGCAGGCAGTCGTGAGTTTGATCCCCGGTACCGGTAAAAATGGAAAAAAAAAAAAAAAAAAAAAAAAAAAAAAAAAAAAAGATTATACACTAGGACCAAGCAGCAATCATCCCATGAATGAATTCAAGGGTGGGTCAACATATGCTAATTAATAAATGTAATATACCATATCAATAGAGCTAGACAAAAATCATGTGATCATCTCCATAGATAGAGAAAAAGCTTCTGATAAAAATTGGAATAGATGTTCTATACCTCAATTTGATAAAAAGCCATCTATGACAAACAAACAGCTAACATACTAAAAGAACAAAAACTGAAACCTTTCACTCTAAATTCAGGAACAAGGCAACTATGTCTGCTAACACCCTCCTATTCAATATAGTTTTGGAAATGTTAACCAGAGCAATTAGATAAGAGAAAAAAATAAAAGGAGTAAAGATAGGAAATGAAGAAGTTTAAATTATCATTTTCAGATGATGATACTTTACATAGAGGCCCCCCAAAACTCCCATGAAAAGACAGAGTTAATAAGCAGATTCAGTAGTGTAGCTGGATACAAAGCCAATTCTAAAACATCAATAGCATTCCTGTACACAAACAACACATTCACTGAGATAGAAATTATGGAAATAACAGCTTTCACAGTAGCATCAAAAAAAAATGAAATATTTAGGAACCTAAAAAAAGATGTAAAAGATCTTTACATTGAAAACTATAATACTCTAAAAAAGAAGATTGAAGAAGATATTCGAAAATGGAAAGATATCCTTTGCTTTTGCATAGGAAAAACCAACACAGTGAAAATGGCCATACTTCCAAAATTGCTATACAGATTAATGCCTGATCAAATTACCATTAACATAATTCACAGATCTAAAGAAAACTTTCCTAACATTTATTTGGAAACCAAAGAGACCTAGAAAAGGAAAGGCAATCCTGGGCAACCAAGGCAAAGTAGGAGGTATTACAATCCTTGACTTGAAATTATACTACAAAGCTCCAAGCAAAATCAGCACGGTACTGGAAAAAAACAGATCTGAGGATGAATAGAACAGATTAGAAGATGCAGATACAACTACAAAGACACTCAGCCACCTTATCTCTGACAATGGGCCAAACATATTCACTGGAAGAAAGATAACCTCTTTAGTAAATGGTACTGTAGAAACTGGCTTTCTACATGCTGAAGACCAAAACTAGCCCCGTGTCTATCACCATGCACTAAAGTCAAATGGATCAAAGATCTAAATATTAAATAGAAACATTAAATCTGCTGGAAGTCAAGGTAGGTAGAAATCTTGAAAAAAAAAAAAAGAAATCTTGAAGACATACAGATAGGCAAAGAGTTCATGAATAAAATGCAAGCCATACAGGAAGTACTTCAAACTATGAACTGGTGTCTTATCATATTAAAAAGTTTTGCACTTCAAAAGAAATCAACAAAATGAAAAGAAAACTTGCAAAAAAAATTTAGCCAAGTATCCCTAAGACAAAGGACTTATATGTATAACATATAAAAAATTGAAAAACATCAGGCACCCCAGATTCAAGGACCCAACCCAAAAATGGGCACCTGAGAAGAACATGCACTTCTCAGATAAAGGAATATAAATGGCAAATAAATACAGGAGGAAATGTTCAACTTCACTGGTCATTAGCAAAATGCAAGTTAAAACAATATTGCGATTTTATCTCACTCAAAAAAAATGGTTGCCATCAAGAAATCAACCAATTATAAATGTTGATGAGGATGTAGACTGGTACAACTACTGTGGAAATCAGTGTGGAGACTCTTCAAAAAACTAGGATTAGAAGTCCCATTCAATCCAGTCATTGCCTTTCTGTGTATTTTCTCAGAAGAATTTAAAACATCATGCACAATGATATATGTGCACCCATGTTTACATGGTTTACGTGCAGCACAATTTGTAATAGCTTCATTTTGGAAACAACCCAAATGTCATCAACCAAGGAATGGATAAAAAAGATGTGGCATTTTTATACAATGGGATATTACTCAGCTATAAAGATGGATAAACTTTAAGCTTTTATATATAAATGGATACAACTTGAGACCATACTCACAAGTGACATAAATCTAACTCATATGTGTAAATACTGTACTGTCTCCCTAGTATAAAAAAGTCATTATAAGAGTAAAAAGATTCAAAATGTACAGTAGATCTTGTGAAAATGAAAGGTGAAGAAAGTGATCAAAAGGAAAGAGCAACTGGGACAGTGGAAAGGAGAACAAGAAGGGAAAAGATTATATGTCTATAGGCATACAGATATATGTGTGCAAGCATGTATGTGTGTATATATATATATAGATATGTATGTATCTGTACAAGATACATAAATATACTACTAATCTCTGTAAATTCATCAAACGTAAGTTTATGCTCCTATTATTTTTTTTCATGCTGAAATCTTGTAACCTGAACAACTACTTCTAAGATAACAATATGCAATATATTAACTAGTGTTTATGTATTTTTTGAAATTTTGTATCATTTCTTTTGCTTTGTTTATAAACAAAAGACAAACCAAAAATAAATAAATAAATAAATAGAAAATGATGCTGTCAAGAAAAATTTTAAAGCAAATTTCAAAAAGGCAAATTTAAAAATACAACAAAAAACTAACAAAACTTCACTCTAGATATAACATTATTTACATTTTAAGGTTTGTTTTCTCTTATGCATACATAAATCAGTTTGTAATTAGAAGATATATTTGAGCAAAAGCTGTATCACTTTTTCACTGCATGTTATTATATGAGCATTTTTCTTGTCTTTAAAAATACTTGAAAATTAGATTTAGTGGTTTTACTGCAATCCACTCCATGGGTTGAGCATCCCCTTTCCCCTTCCTTGAGCTGTGAAGTTGTTTATAGTTTTTTTCTTTTAGTTAACGCAATAATGTTTGTAGGTCAATTCTTACCCATCTCTTAGAATATTTCAATTCTAAATAATCTTGAAGTAGGATACCTGGGAGAAGAGATATTTTAAAGATTTTAGATACATTCCTTTAAAATATGTTTCATAAAGAAACATGTTAACTGATTTTCTGACTGAATGTATAGGATAACATCTTACATAATAATGTGAATTATTTCTCAAAAAAGGAAAAAATAAGCACCCAATTTAATGTTTAAAAATCACACCAGTTTAACATTGTAATATGTTTCTTTTGATTCCTTGTTAGAGTATTTGTATATATTAACTATGGTAAACTAGTTAATATTTTTTTAATAAGTCCTGAGTTAGTCTTTGGCTTTCCATGCAGAATTCATAGTTGTTTTATGTTTTCCTTAGGGTCGTGTTTTCTAAATTTCCACATGTGACTTTCCCCCTTTTGCTTATTTTCTTACATTTAAAACCAGGATTACAGACTGGTAGCATTGAGACAAACTGACATGTGTTTCGAAGGATCATGTTCCTATTTATGCACATCATGAACTGTCACCATGTGGCTAGTGTGAGTTAGTATTGGTCTAGGTAGTGTGAAAATCTAAAAAAAAATATGTCCTTACATGCCCTGCATTTAAAGTCTAGTTGGAAAATTTTAAAAAGACGAATACACAAATCAGTGATTAATAGAAAACATCCTGTTGTGACTGAATTGTAGACTGCAGATTTTAAGTGCTATAGCCATTTTTTAAAAAAGGAGCTATCAATGATAACCTGAGTTATCATCACTAAAGAGCCCCAGCAGAAGAAAGGGCAGGCTGTTCAGGAAAAAACCACAGAAGTTAACAGTCTTTTACCGATGAAGAGTGTGGATTTCAACCAGACCTAAGTGGGGAACTTCAGCCACTTGACTTAACAGTTCCTTAAAAGTCTAGTCAAGCATTCTAAGTTCAGATTCCAGCTCTGCTACTTATGAACAGTGTGACCTGGCAAATTAAAACATTTTATAGTAACTCTAACTTTGCTCATTCATTAGGATCATAGATACATCCATCTACCTAACAAGACTGTTGTGGGATTAAATGAGTAGATGTGAAAACTGAAGCCTGACGCGTTACACTTCCTCTGTAGTGTTGACTTGTATCAGTAACTAATTTCATCATCAATGTAGCAAATCTAGTAAGTTACTTATTAACTAGGATGATATGATACTCTGCCACACTAGATACTTACGAGTGTTCCAATTGAGACTTTGGGTAGATTTTTGTAGAAAAAGAGAGGAAAAGTCTGAAGGTATGAGTTTCCCCCAAATCACATCACACACCTTGTCTTTAAAGCAGAGCTTTTCCTTCAGGTCAGTGAATTACTCATGGCCCCACATTGGAATGCGAGAACCCAGTTTTTCTCTAAAAGGCCAAAGTCATCCTTGAGTTCTAAAAGATCAAATTCAACATTGTTGTTAGGACATCCTAAATCAAATATGTAATTAATGTTCATTAAAGATAGAAATGTTAAAAACTTAAGTACATAAAAAGTACTCCATTAATAACACTGAAAATAATTTAGAAATAGTGAGTATGAAGGTTTTAATTTAGATGTAGACCCTTTTATAACCTTCTTTCCTTCAACAATAGCACCTAGTCCACTCCTAGACTGTCAGCTGGATTTAGGGACTATTTTAATGACTATACTGCTACAGAAGTGGTAGTGTTTGGCTTCCAAAACTTGTCCACAAAATCCTTCATGCTGTCATTTCCATCTGCTTCTAGACACTGACAACCAGCATATGCCATTGGCATACTGTTCATTCACTCATTTGACCTTACTATGGGGTTTAAAGGTTATACACAAATGATTCTGATAGGTAGTTTCTTTGTCTAAATTTGCACCTCAAAGGATATATCCCAGCACTGGTTGAACTGGGTCTCCAAAACAGGTAAATAGGTGGGGATAAACTCAAGATATTTTAAGCAGAGAGTAAAGCTTATCAATGTAAGAATCTAGCTAACACAAAATCAAGGTCCACCACCCACAGCCACCAAGAACTGCCCACTTCAAGCAGCCCATTTATATTCTTATAAACCACAAATAAAGCTCAGCAATGGGAAACCTATAGAGAGGACATTCTTCATATGAAAGGGCAATACATCACATTGTATGGTCTGCTTCAAGAGCTTCCAAGAGCTGGCAAGAACCCATAGCACTGCAAAGAAAACTGCAGATTCTACCACAGTTAAAGGTGTCCTAAATAGGTAGTTCTGTAAAGACGTTAGGAAGCTTGAATTGTCCACTAGTAGCATGTAGAACTCAACAGCACAGAAAGGCATGTTACTTTCCGGTCCTCATGTAGCTGAAGGATTAGCTGTCTTCCCATCTACACTAGGAGGAAACACTGAAATGAGATTTTTGAAAACAGTGAACAAGTTTAAGGCATGGGACTTCTGAAACATCTGCTTTTCCGGGTCTAGTAATAAAATCTTCTACAGATAACAACAGATGTAAGAACACAAATCTCTATGAAGATTCCTAGACCTGACTCTGCAATGTCTGCAACAGTTTTCACCTGTTCTGGCCAAAGTAATTCTAGCATCAAAACACTCTGTATCAGATTGGAGACAATGGTGGATAAAATTACAGGTGTTTTTGGCCTGGGTTACCCTTATTTTCAAAATCAAGTAACCATCAATCTTTAATTCCGGCACTGACAAGATAGTGTACTACTCAAACTACTAAATATAGAGGGGGAAGCTAGTTAAGAGAATTATCTGAATTATGTCAAAAAGCCTCAAGGAGTCATCTGGATGATTTTTCTGATGACCCCTGTTACTAGAATGGTGCGTGGTCATAAAAGTTAAATTTAAAAGAACTGTGCTGTATATTTTAGCAGACTTTATAGTGTTATAGAAATAACTTGCTAACTCTGAACTTTCAATTTTAAATCTTAAGGAAACTTTTACACAGTTCTCTGAAAGAAATAGCTCCCCACTCCCACTTGAATAGGTATATATTTTCCTAAATAGTTTTTCTACATATTTGGTAGCAAGATTCATTAAACACTTCCAGATGAAAAGTGCTGGCTTTTCTCCCTTGTCATCAATATTACAGAACTGAAGACTTTCACCCTGTGTCATCAAACGACAACTGGCCATATATTAATTCAGTTTAGTCTTCCATTTGGCTAATGAATCCTGCTTCATTGCTAAATGGAAACAAAACACAGTTAGTCTCATTTGGGCTATATGAATAAACACATAGATTTTATGATGTCATTTCTAGCTTTTTTTCTTATCCCAGATAAGACCTGGTTGCATATTCAGGCAGATTATTTGTTTTCTGCCTCGGCCTCATCCAAAGTAGCTACCCATGCAGGCTAGAACTAGACAATGTTTTGTTTTGTTTTGTAGCTCAGCCTAGTCTTCAACTTGCAACAATCTTCCTGCCTCAGCCTCCTGAGTATTACAGAAGTATGCCACCACACCTGGTTCAATCTTTTACTTTTTTAGTGTCTGCTTTTTTTTTATTTTATGGAAAAAATATTCAAAACAAAATAGAATAACAATAGTTAATACACTGTGTATTGTAATCTTCAAAGTAGATACTCAGAGTACACGATATAGGCATAAAAATTCTCTATCTGGACAATTTATAAACCTTAAGGACATAAAATTTATATAACTGAAAATATGGCATGAGAATCAGAGTCAAACACAAAGTATATCTAAAAAGCACAGTGAGCCAGCTATAGAAAACAAAATTCATGATTTCCCATGCTTCCTTCACATATCTGCCCCCCATCCACTCTTTTTGCACTTTAGCTAGACTCCTAGTAACACACGGGTACCCTATTCATCAAATGGATTTGACACCTACAAGTGCTGATTAACATAATATCCTGACTCCCACACTGCTAACCAGCATCATCCACATGTTCCACAGTGTTCACTGACTGAACAAATTCAGACACATGATTAAAGTGACAACTCCCAGAGCGTGCGTGAGGCTGGGAACTCCTCAGGAATAGTCCCACACTGCAAGGCATCTCTGAGGCTGCATTCCCCCATGTCTTACTGAGCAAGTGCCACCATACTGTAGCAATGCCAGTGTGGATGCTGGGTATGTGATCACAATGCCCATTTCATGCCTCCTAGACCAAGAAACTGCATTTTATGAGGCAAACGCACAGTTACTGAGCAGCTGAAACGTAAGGAGGTGAAAAGGGTGCCTGGACCGTTCTGAGAGGCACACTGATGGTGGATATTATTGACACTGAATGGACATTTGGTCTTTCTCTTCAAACTGCAATATTTTGGCTGAGGTAATAGACTCCTGTGGAAATGGCTGTTGCAAGTGACACAACCTGCCAGGCAAGGTCCCAAAGGTTAGCTGCAAGCTACGGATTTTCGCCACGCAGCCACAATGAAACACCACACGGGAGCACGCCACAGCCACATATGACTCAGACTTGTCTCAATGGTCAGATGTCTGAAGGTGTGTTTTAAAAAGTCTCAAGCTTTGCCCCTCTGGTGTGAGAAATGGCAAAGACTTCAAGAGCACAGATAACCAGGATGACAAAACCACAAACAGAAATGGATTTTATATCAGCAATTACTTTTACTTTACTCAGAAAAAGTACATGGGACACTGGCAAATATCTGGCACTAACATTGGGGCTTTATTTCACACTGTTCTTAGATGATTCATATAGTTTCCTTTTAATAGAACGTTTAATGACATAGTTGCCATTTCTGAATACAGGAATAATTTAAATATATTTTTATAGTTTTTAAAAAAAATAACCAACATTCTCAAGCTTCAAAATAGCCACACCTACACATCTGTATTTTAGTATTTAGTCAAATTATGTCATGAAAAATCCAGCAAGAAAATGAATAAGCACCTGAGAATTCAATGTATACTATGTGACTAGTCTTATTTTTCACAAAATAGATTGCCAATCAATCCCATTATATATACAACTTCTGCATACCCAAGGAATAGTGTACTGTATTTTTGTAGAAGAAGTTGTTTGTACATTGGGTCATTAGAATTATTTTGTTACACAAATAGACACTTATGCCCACTACAGACTAATTGTTTACAGCTCTCAGAAAGCTAGGCGTGGCTGGTTGTGGTTTATAATGCATTTTAAAGGACTTTTCTTCTAAATAGAAGAAACTCAGGAGAACAAAACACTTGCTGCTTGTTAGTTTGTGAAATAAATTATTCTTGCTTGGCAAATAAGTCATCATTATTATTTTTTTTTGTGTGGTACAGGGGATTGAACTCATGACCTCAGGCTTGCCAGGCAGGCGCTTAGGCCACTGAGCTAAATTCCCAGCCCTAAGTCATTATTAATTTTAAGAAAACATGTTTTCATATAAAATGCCAAGGCAAATTCTCATTAAGTTCAGTCAGAGTTAAGTCTGTACAGCAAGAACATCTTCTTCTACCAAGGACAGTTCCAGGATGTTTTCATTAGTGCTGGTTTTCATCCTGAAGTTGAAAGAACCATAGAGTTTTGCAGACTCTTTGGAAGAGGCAAATCTGCTTCGCTGATAAAGCTCTCCCTTCCACATAGACATCATTAGCAAACAGGACAGAACAACGCCCCCAAGAGTGAGGAGGCAGAGCCCAGCAATCACACAGCGGTCCAAATGAGCCCCCAACCGTGCACTTTCCCTCTCCAGGCGTTCCATCTCCCGGGCTGCCACCGTGCTGGGATCCACAGTTACCTCCCTTGGGATGATGTAAGAAATGATCACCAGCAAGATGCCAGTGACTAAGAACAAGATGGCACTGATGAAACCGTAGTCCACCGACTTCCCTGAAGAGGTGCTTTCTGTACTTGTATCATCTTCATCTTCAGATATCAAGGATATGGCAGCCTCGTGGGACCAGTCACTTGGATTTCCCCAGTCAAGGTCTCCAGGGCAATTGCTCCCTTTTGCTGAGGGGGACCTCCGGGCTCGCTGCTCCAAGTTGACATTCTCGTCCACATAGATGAAAGAAGTTTCTACCTCCTGGCTGCAGCACTGGCAGACTTTCCGTTCTAATGTCATGTGGCTGTTGCTAGGAGGTCCTTCTGGGAAGAAGGCTGGCAGAGTAGCGCTGTCCCGCTGGGAGGAGGAAGGGGCTTCTGGGGAAGGGTGAGGTCTAGACCTTTCCACCACAGCTGCTCTTGGTACAGACTCACAATGTTTCTGACAGCACAGAGCAGCTCTGCCAACGGCTGCCTTTTCCTGGTCTCCAGGAGATCCTTCTGCACCCCAATGCATGATGTCACATAGCTGTGCCTGGCTGCTTTTCTTAGCAAGGCACTGGAGCTCCATGGAGCTACGTAGGTAGCCCCCAGAATTTTCTAGAAGTTCACCGGTAGCAGCACAAGTAAGGACTTGGTACTTCTAAGGCCGATGATGCACTGCCAGAAGTTCTGCTCTCTAGGACCCCATTTCCACTGCAGTCACTTCGAGGGTCCCTCTGCCCAATTCCTCCTAAAACGAGCAAAAGAAGGGGAGGTCCTAGTGCCAGGAAAATGTGAAAGGGCAAACTATCTGACTTGCCACAAACTGACAAACTTACATTTGAAAAGGAGCAGGGAGGAAGTGGCAGTGTCTCTGGAGAAAACACACTACCGTCACCAAGCCAGATTTATCCAAGGACGCACACATTCCCATGACAGAATCCCTCAAGGAGAAGGCAGATTTCCTGTAGAAAGACAGGAGCAGAAAGGCAGGGGCCCCTTTGAGCAGAACTGCTTGCTGAGTCTCTGGAGGACTTCAAGCACAGGGTTGTTAACAATCTGATTATACTGTGTTTATATTCTGGTCAGAACAGATTCTAATGCAGATATGTTTTAATTAACATATGCCCATACAGCTGGGTTCCTGGGGAGCCAGAGCCCAGCGTGATAACTCAGCAGATCTGCGGTGATGACCAATGGCAGGTTCACCAGCCACCTGTTTAAGGCTGTACTGTGTAGCCCTGGGCCCTGTACTTCCTTCTACCCCACAGGCAAGTATGTGCTAGTCCCCAGGGGTGCAGCCAGCACGCGTCATGGTGACCCCTGCACTCCAGGCACACTCTTCGGCTCCAGCTGTGCCTGTCTGCCATTTCCACTTATCCAGTCTTAGTGGGCAGAGTTTCTCTCTTTTCCTATGGTTTGCAAATAAACAACCACAAGAAGTTGACTGTTCAGTAAATTTCACAAACCCAGTCTACAAGTAGGCTGACAATAACAGATTATAAACCCAGAGTTTGTTGCAGGGAAATAGGTGAGAAGCTGTTTCCAAGGTTACCTCTGGGACTTCACATCCTGGACTTGCCCTCTCTTCTACTGCACTATGGCCAGGGTGGACTTTGGGTCCAGCAGAAGGCTAGCTGCCCATCTTTGCTGCCTCCATCACCTTTCTGAGGAAGAGAAATCCACTTTCCATTGTCACTCTATGTTCAGTTTAATCAAAGGACCCTTTTATTTTGATTCCAAATCCAGGGTGAGCACTGATTTTAACCCACAGCTTGGCGCTTATTGGTCTTCAGAATCCACAGCTCCAACAGTGGCAGGTTGGCCAAAGCTCCCTAAGACCACCCAGCAAGTCACTCCACGCCTGGGGGAGAAATGATCTGGTTTTCTGCGGTGCATCGAAGGACTGTTCGTTTTGTATTTTTAAACAAACATTAGTCTTCTATTGTCAGTTTCTCCGCGCCCAAAACAGCAGAATAACCACCAAAACCACTAAGTGCAAGAGAACCAGCACTGAACTCACTAGAGCCTTGCTTTGCCAAGTGGATGGCTCGCACAGCAAGGCACAGACAGCAGAAGCCACAGTGCACCAGCTGCAGGAGAGGCCGGCGCCCAGGCAACTGGTCGCTCCAGACTCCGCCAGGCGCGGTTCCCAGGGGGTTCGGCCAAAGACCCGCGGGAGCGAGCCTCGCTCAGGCCTCCGCCCGCCCTGGGGGTGGCGGGACCACGCGGTCCCCGGGGGCCGCGGAGAAGGACGGCGCCCCGGCACCGCCGCTCTCGGAAACGGCCCGCCCCACCAGACCCGCGCCCTCCCGGGCCGCCGGCTCTTGCACTCACCTTCCGCCAGGCGCCCGCGCCGCACCGCAACCGAGCACGTTCCGCACTCACCAGGCAGCGACAGGGCCCGCGGGTGGGCGAGGCCGGGAGCCGGGCGTGGCTGGGCACGGGGGCGGGGCCTGAGGGCGGGGTTAGGCCCCTCCCGCCGAGCATCCTGGGAGTTGTAGTCTAGGGCGCCGAGCATCCCGCCTGGCTCCTGGGGGCAGGATTACGTCCTCTTGCACTGTAGATCCTACCTACACTGGGGAAAGCCATGACTTCTCTCTTGCCTTGGGGTCCTGCAACTTCAAGGGTGGTCACAGAATGAGGGAGGGACTGGCTGGAAGGAGTGTGTATTTAGTTACAACAACTTGCCAGGTAATTTGCATGTTTTGTCTTCATAGTTAAGAAGTCATCAAAATAGATTGATTTTATTAATCCTCATTTTTCAGAGGAGGAAGCAAAGGTACAGTGTCAATGAACGGCCACTTCTAAAATGGCATCGAGGAATTTGCTTCCAAAGCCATTGCTTTCCCCATAGATGAGGGAAGGTGACCTCAGAGGAGGAAGTTGTCCTTCCACCAAGTTACTCTGCTTAGTGCAGTGTGCAATATCTGTGGGATGCAGGAATGATAATGAGTCAAAACAGTATGAGGGGGCTGGGGATTTAATCAGCGGCATAAGCGCCTGCCTGACAAGCACTAGGGCATGAGTTCGATTGCTGGTACTCAGCTGCTTGTGAGTAGCTTCAATAAATGCTCCCGTTTCTTGTTTTCGTTGTTTGTCTTTCCTATACTAACTATTGCATTGATTTTCCTTTATGTTGGACAGAGGTCATAAGCTCATGGTTCCGGGGACTTTGCAACCTGTTCCCTTCAAAGTCTTTTTTCCTGTTTCCTTCTCCTCTTTTTTAGTCTTGCCCTCTCTCTTTCTCTCCCAGGTTTTTTGAGATAGGGTCTCACTATGTAGTTCAGCCTGGCCTTGAATGCACTGTGTATCCCAGGCTGGATTCGAAGTTGAGGTAATCCTCCTGCCTCAAACTTGTGAGTGCTGGGATTACCACAACTGACTCTTCCCATGTTTTTCTTTTAGCCAGTCAAATCTATTTATTTATGACAAGTGTATTATGATAGTTTTTCAATCCAAGAAACTGCCCATCAACAGCAGAATGTTACAGGCTGCCGAGTTAGAAATATTATAGGCAGACAGCCAGGGCTAGGCCTTTGAAGTAGCCAGTGCAGAAGACCAGATACCTCACAACCTTGAAGGACACAGACACCTCTGCTGTGGGCCAGATTTCAAAACAAAAGGCAAAACAAATGCAACCACACCCTAAGTATAAACATCTAAAATAGGTATGGATCACCTTGAGGAAGCCAGGAGTCATCATCCCAACCCCCTACAGGAAGTCACTGCTCTTTAAGTATGCCCACTTGGTATGTGACTCGCTTCCCCATTTGTCCCAGATTTGGTCAATTTTACCTGAACAGTTAAACTTATTTGTTTACCATAGTTCTGTCCCACCTCATTCCTAATTTTGACCTGCCTCATCTTGGGGGTTTTCTTTATGAAACCCCTAGAAAATATAGGGTCCTTGGCAACCCACTCAGGACCCTTCTGTCTCTCAGACGGAAACCTTTTGCTCAATAAATATATTTTGTTCTTAACCTCCATGTTCCTAAAATTCATTCTTCCATTAGAACAAGAACTTCTACCAGCTATCTAGTAGATGGGAGTTTCCTTCCCCTATAGCAATATGACTGAAACAAGTTTTATAAAACTTCAATTTCCTTCTCTGTAGGACAGGGATCACAATATTCCTATTTGTTTGACTATTACGAGGATGATTTAATGAAATATGCAAAATGCTTAGAGGAGTGTCTGTTGTCTAATAAATGATCCAAAACATGTTATTTTATAGTTATAACTGCTTTTCAAGAGTCTCAATTATGCTGTTTGGTTCATCTATTAAATTTTAAAATTTCAGCAATTGTAATTTTTCATTTTCTTGCTGTTTAATTTTTTCTTTTTCATAACCATATGTGCTAGTTCTTATTTTATCAATGTGTTATCTTACCTTATCTCTCTATTGATATTAGTTGTATATAGTCTCAAAGTTATAACACTGTCCATTTTGATTAATGTGTTTCTTATCTATTGGGAGTAGCAACTTCCATTTGGTCTTTCTTTCATGAAATGTCTTTTCTAAGATTGTTTAGTTGTATTTATCATGCTCATCCCTCTATCAAAAATTTTCTGTTGGATATTGCACTCCATCTGTTTTGGTAGCATCCCTGAGATGACTTTGTATTTATTCAATCATAGTTCATGTGCTTTTTATATTTGAAAAATTCTTGTTTACTGTTGGGTGCAGGCGCTCAACATACCATACCCCACCCGGGACTAAGGACCACGCCAGCTTTTGCAATGCCCTACGTCCCTCTTTAAATTAGCCAACCCGTGCGCACTTCGTGCTCACTCCGAACTCTGTGGCAACTCCTGATTGGCCACAGCTGGATATGGTAGCCGGAGCCTACATCTCATTCCCTCCCTGCTTCCTTGTGTCAGCCTGTGATTGGTCACGGCCAAATATATAAACCAGAGCCCACATAAATAAACTAGCAGTTAACTGTCGTCCACAAAAGCGTCTCCTGTCTCCTGTTTCATTGGAGCTGCGCCAGTCAACTGGTGGCCCGTACGGGGAGCCCAGAGCGCTGAGACCCTCTCTCCGACAGTACGAGGAGAGCTGAGACCCTCTCTCCGACAGTACGAGGAGAGCTGAGACCCTCTCTCCGACGGAACAGAGACGTTAACAGGTAAAACCGTCAAGCGCCGATAGCGGGGGCTACTCGGCGGGCGGGGGCTGACAGGTTAAACTGCTCAACGTTGGTAGCGGGGCGTACGCAACAGGCAGCGGGGGCTGCAGGGCCGGATGGCGGGGGCTATCGGGCAACCTTGGGCGGATGCGTCGCAAGGGTTGAGGAACTCGTAAAGAGAGTTCCCGGTGCCGTAAAGAGGCAGGTTTTGGGGGCGCCGTAAAGGGGCCGGGGACTAAGCTGTCCCTGTTACAAAAAAAAAAAAAAAGGAAAAACAATAAATAAATAATAAAAAAAAACTCTTAAAATTCTGGTTAACATGGATAACACGGCTACTCAGCCACTGTCAGTCGCCTTAAGCGACTTACTGAGAAAAAAGAGATTACAAATAAAACAAAAACAAATTCAAAACTTCCTCGATCAGGTCGATAAGATAACACCTTGATTTGGTCCCACGGGGTCCATTACCATCCCCAGCTGGGATAAATTAGGGAGAGATTTTGACTTTACAGCAAAAAATGGCCTCTTAGAGCCAGGAGTCAGACCCCTTTGGGCAGTGGTGAGAAGCTGCCTTGCAGACACCTCTTGTCGTGACCATATAAGGGCTGGCGCCATGGCGCTTGATTACCATCAGGCAAAATCCTCCCGCGAGCAATCTCGTGAGCCCAGTGCCGCAGGCGAGGTGACCCCACCCAACCCAGAAACAAAGGACTCGTCAGATAATGAGGGGGAGGAAGAAGAAGTATACAAAATGGTGGATGCAGACACCACCGAAAGAGGGGAAGTCACACACACACGCAGTCGAGGGGGCCTTACTCTGAGGCCATAAATGAGCTGCAACGCAGGATTTCTCAGAGTAAATGGGTCAATGAAAGTGAGTACGGAATCCCAGGGCCACCCCGTATAAGACCTACGGCTCTACCTCCCGACCCGCCAGATTATCATGCTCACCAGAGACCCTGCCATCAGCTATGTAGCTGTCCACAATGGGTCCAGACGTCCCCTGGGACATTCCAGGAAGACCTTTGGCATCAAGTCAAAAGAGAGGACCCAGGAGGCCTGGGCCGTTTTCTCCAGGCTTTTCCGGTTGCTGTAGATGCTCAGGGAAACAGAGCCCACCTGCCTATAGATATGAAGGCGATAAAGCATCTTAAGGAGGCCAACACCATGTACGGTGTTAACGGGGCGTATACCCTGTCCCTAGTAGAAGCCCTGACAGGAAATGCCATGACACCTGCTGATTGGGCCAGTTTGTGCAAGGCAGTGCTCAGCCCAGGCCAATATCTTGATTGGAAAGCTTAAAATGTTGAACTTGCCGCAGAACAGGCCCAAGCTAATGCCCAGAACAATCAGGCCGCCTGAAACGCGGATATGTTATTAGGACAAGGGCAATATCTCAATAACCAGCTGATATTTCCACAAGAGGTGTATGCACAGATAAATAAAATAGCCATACAAGCATAAAAACGGGTCTCGGCTAGAGGAGAAGTCTCAGGCCACTTGACAAAAATTTTGCAGGGCCCGAGCGAGCCTTTTTCAGATTTTGTGGCCCACATGATGGAGGCAGCAGGGAGAGTTTTTAGAGACACAGAGACAGCCATGCCGCTCATTAAGCAGCTCACAGCTGCTCTGGGTCAACACCAGGTGTAGTTCGTTAACTTGGCAGGAGTCGGGGCTTGCCATTGTTGACGGCCCTACCACGAGACAAAGCAAAAGCCGCATCCAAACTTATTCAAGAGCAATTAAAGTTAGGCCATATCAAACCCTCAAGTCTATTCTGTTTAAACAAAAGGAGGGTATTGCCCAGGGCATGACACCTAGGGCCAGACTAAATCTCGCCCTCTTCACTTACAATTTTGTAAACATCAACCCACAAGGATCCACGCCAGCACAGCTACATACCAACCCTGTCGCACCCAAACATGGTTGGGTACGCTGGAAAGACCTCCTGCATGGGGTGTGGAGAGGCCCCAGCCCAGTACTTAGTTGGGCGAGAGGGGCGGTCTGTATCTTCCCGCAGGAAGAAGGCAGCGAACCTGTCTGGGTCCCGGAATGCCTGATACGTCCCTGCAAACCACCAGACCCCGACCCAGAGGAAACGTCAACCACAGAACAGGGGAACCAACAGGAGCCTCACAAGCCAGACCTAGCAAGTATACCCACAACTCCCATTAACTATGGCACCTTGGCCAACTC